TTCCTGCTGTAATAAATTACCATGAACTTAGTGGCTTAAAACAACACACATTTATTATCTAAGAGTTCTGTGGCTCAGAAGTCTGATACTAGTCTCACTGGACTAAAATTAAGGTGTCAGCAGGGACATGTTCCTTTTGGAAAGATCTTAGAGGACAATCCATTTCTTTGCCTTTTTCAGCTTGTAGAGGCCGCCCCCATTCCTTGGCTTGTGGCCTTTTCCCTCCATTTTCAAAGCCGCCAAAGGCAGGGTGAGTCCTCACATGTCATCTCTCAGATCTCCTCTTCTGCCTCTCTCTTCCACTCTGGGGGCTGTTGTAATTACATTGGACCCACCAGAATAATCCAGGACAACATCCTCAATCTCAAGTCTTTAACTTAATCACACATGCAAAGTCTCCTTTACCATGTAAATTAACATAATTACAGGTTCTGGGGATTAGGACATGGACATCTTTGGGGGGCATTATCCTGCCCACCACACCCCTGTGACCTCCCATAGATGATTCCATGTGAAAAATCAAGTGAAGAAGCAAGGAATCCTGCATGTTTACTTACAAGAACACAGCCTCGATATTAGTAAGGACACCACTTGGGTGTTAGTGACAGCATTGTCAGATACGGGTTTGTATCACATGTAGTTTTCCCTTTACTCAAATTACGCAAAAACATCCAGATCCAACTCCTGGAAGGATTTTCTTCTTCTTTGCTTTCGATGCATGGTAATTAGGGATGAAATGAAATTCTGGAGGGTTTGTTTTTTTTTTTAAAGAATTAATTCCTTTTGACCTAGCTAAATACATGACGCACAGCATATTTCAGGCTTGTGGCTCAAAGTCACCAAGCAGGATGTTTACTAGGTACATGAGGTAATGTTAATTTTGGCAGTAGAAAATGTTCCTTCAGAGAGAGGCAACCATGAAATGAAAAGTCCCTTTGGGCTGGGAGTCAGGAAACCTGGAGTGCAATCTACTGCTATTTTCTACCACTTTCTAGCTCTTACAGCTTCCTGAGACTCAGTTTTCACACCTGTAAAATGGGTATAAAAACAACCTCTGCACCTCTAACTTCACAGGGTTGTTGTGTTGGAATCCTGTGATCCCTAAAGTGTTATTGAAAGTAGGATATTATTTATTGTTTTAGTTAATACCTCTAGGACCAAGAGGATACTTTTCAGTTTTTAAAAGAAAACTATACAGAGGCATAATTCCTGTTCCAGACTGGGCTTTTTCTGTCACCAACTGCTTAGCCTAGGAATTTATTTTGAATGGATAAATACCTACACCTTTTCCCTCTACACACTGAGTAAATTGCCTTCTTAGAGTTGCATCAATTTCCAGCCCCCTATTAGGAAAGAAAAGAACACTGAATGACACTACATGCCCAAGGATCTCATTTCCATTCAGGGCTTGGTGTGTGTGTGTGTGTGTGTGTGTATGTGTGTGTGTGTGTGTGTGTGTGTGTGTTGAAAGAAGAGGAGTGGCTTCTTTCTCAGCTAGTCCTGACTTTTGGATTTGATTTGGGTGGCTAGGAGAGGGAGGAGTATAGAACGAGATTAGAGGAAAAAAGGATAAGAAGGATGTGCTGAAAACAAAAATGTATTGTGTTGCTGCAATGTGCCAGGTACTTTTGTGTGGGAACGATGCAAGTTTCTTGAGGGCAGGGAATCTGGCTTATTTGCTTTTGTAGCCCCATGGCTTAATACATGGTAGGCTCTCAAAAAATATATATTTGGTGAATGAAAAAATGAAAGAGAGGTGACTAAGACACTTTGGTGGGGGCAGTAGGACAGATACTAAGTCAAAATCTCTGCTTCTTGAAACAAGACATGCTGACAAAGATGGAAGTCAACATGGACCAGATTAAGTTGTTATCCTTCTTTCCACTTTCAAACTGTAACTCAGGGCTAGTTGGACCTCAAAGTTCACTAAACATGAGTGAATGACCAGAGGGAGGGAGAATTTAGGGCTACTCTGGAGCAGTTTTCACCACCTTGGAAGTGGAGTAAAAGAAGGAGGCCAGCACGAGAGCACCAGTGTGCCTTACCTCACACTCTGCCATTGCCCGAGGGGCTCTGAGGTGGGCAGGCAGGGGAGAGTGCAGTGAGGGTGCCCTGAGTTCACCTTTCACACGATTCAGGGTCACTGTCCCATTGCCTCTGATGGCCAAGAAGCCCAAGAGAGGTCTGGAATCCATTCATTCCTGGAAGTCTAGAGGAACCTTTGAACAAAACTTTAAGCAGAAAGATACGGTTCCCAGTGAAATTTCAGGACTCAGCCAGCCTGTAGGGGAGATATTTGGGGAAATGTCACACCTCTATGTGAATTCTCACTAGGGAATCCTGAAGGCCTCAGTGCTTTCAACATCCAAAGGGAGGGTGGTCTTGGGGAAGACAGCAAACAGTGGGGTATTTGGGATCAAGGGATGCTGGCCAGAGCTCTCTTGGTGGGAGAACTGACCCCATTTCTTTCTTGTTTTTTTTTGTTTGTTTGTTTTGGCCTGGCAGCATGGGCATGTGGGATCTTAGCTCCCGGACCAGGGATCAACCCTCGCCCCCTGCAGTGGAAGTGTGGAGTCCTAACCACTGGACTGTCAAGGAAGTCCCAGAAGTACCCCATTTCTGACTGTGGTCTGCTCATCGCTTAGTCATGTCTGTTTCTCACACCCTTCTTTGCAGGTGTTTGCAAGAGCATGCCCTTGGACTTGGTGTTTATCATTGATAGTTCTCGTAGTGTACGGCCTCTGGAGTTCACCAAAGTAAAAACCTTTGTCTCGCGGGTAATTGACACTCTGGATATCGGGCCGGCAGACACGCGGGTGGCAGTGGTGAACTATGCCAGCACCGTGAAGATCGAGTTCCATCTCCAGACCCACTCGGATAAGCAGTCCCTGAAACAGGCCGTGGCGCGGATCACACCCTTGTCCACAGGGACCATGTCGGGCCTGGCCATCCAGACAGCGATGGACGAAGCTTTCACAGTGGAGGCAGGAGCTCGGGGACCCGCTTCCAACATCCCTAAGGTGGCCATCATTGTGACAGATGGGCGGCCCCAGGATCAGGTGAATGAAGTGGCGGCTCGGGCCCAGGCATCCGGTATTGAGCTGTACGCCGTGGGCGTGGACCGGGCAGACATGGAGTCCCTCAGGATGATGGCCAGTGAGCCCCTGGACGAGCACGTTTTCTATGTGGAGACCTATGGGGTCATTGAGAAACTTTCCTCTAGATTCCAGGAAACCTTTTGTGGTAAGTCTTTGCTTCCAACTAGAAAAGATGTTATATAGTCAGACATTGTGTATCTAAAAAAAAAAGAGATTTATTCTTTTTTGGTGGAAATTTATGGAAAACTTAAATATAAGCAATTCTTTTTCATATGTGTGTATTTCTTTTTTCTTCTTCTTCTTTTTTTTTTTTTTTTTTTTTTTTCTTTTTTTTTTTTTTTTTTGCGGTACGCGGGCCTCTCACTGCTGCGGCCTCTCCCGTCGCGGAGCACAGGCCTCGGACGCGCAGGCTCAGCGGCCATGGCCCACGGGCCCAGCCGCTCCGCGGCATAAGGGATCCTCCCGGACCAGGGCACAAACCCGTGTCCCCTGCATGGGCAGGCGGACTCCCAACCACTGCGCCACCAGGGAAGCCCTCTTTTTTTTTTTTTTTTTTAGCAACTTATGCATACTTTGTTGGTTTAGAAATATAGAGCTGCTTTGTATATAACTTGGTTTGCTCATAAAAATCTTCGTGTTTGCATTAGAAATGTGAAATTCTGGAAATATCCAGGGTACATGATCCTGCTATTCCCTGATGGGGTCAGAAAAAAATACAAATAAAAAAATCTCCAGACACCTCTCTTCTCCCCTCTGCCCACCACATTTTTTCCAGATATTTTCTTTAGCTTTTCCATCTCTAGATTTAACAGAACTCTGCTTGTTTTGGGGGCAGAAGACGGGGACTGTGTCGGTCTGTGGAAAGATCAGCTGGCTTATATTCCAGTGTAACTGTCAGTCAGTGTGTACACTGAGTGAATACTCCAGTTTTCAGATTCAGCTCGGTGTCTGATTATTCCTTGTGGAGGGAGAGGCTTAGGGACCAGGAAGGTTATGATTTCAGCTCACTGGTGAGATAGCAAGAAGCAGGGTATTTTTTATTTTAATTTTTAAATTATTCTGTTACTGTTCTTCTCCTTTCTTCCTTTAGGATGGAGCTTAAATCCAAACATGCTGATTTAATTAGAATTTTTAGCATGAATCAGCCAAAGCCACGAATATGAATCCATTCAAGGTTCGGGTTTATCTGTAGTCACTGACCAGAATTACGAATTTGTGGGACTCAAACTTTTTAATTTTTACTTTTAAATTTATTTTTGTTTTTCTTTTAAAAATTTCTGTCTTCCTTTGTTTCTTTCTTTTTATAGCCATGCTTTATTTTTTATCATTTGGAGATAATCTTTCAAAGCCCTCTGTGGAATTATCTAAGCAGGTGTGGACAAATTTCTAGTTCAGGTGAATTTTAAAATGTAGATACCTTTTGCTATATAATCTATTTCACATTTGTTTTTTCAACATGTGTTTATTGATCACTGATGATACAAAGATAAGGTAGTCCCTCCCTACCATCAAGCAACAGTCTGTGGCTGGGGATGAGACAAACAAGTGAACCAATAATTACAATTGTAAATTTCAAGGAGACTTTATGTATAAATGAATGTGAAACTCAGCAATCAACAATTTGTCAGGAAATGAGAGATGAAATCTCGGTCTGGAGCAAAGTCTGGCCTCGTCTCAACCAGACCTGGCCAGGGACCCTTTATCTTTCCTGCCCTAGGACACTGGGTCTTCACAAGCTGTCCTTGGCTTTGGTGGCATTGACTCAGCATTCATTGGTTTCCCAAAAGAAAATAGCTTTCTTTCTCCCAGAAAACCCCCCTGTGTTTGTAGGTGAGAACTTTTCCATAAAGATGCTGGTCTATGGCAAGGCCGGGTCTCAAAGATAGCACCTGGGGTTGGGCTTGAAGGACATAAAGTAACAAGTGGTGAGTGGCCATCTTTTCATTCTGGTACGAAAGATCTGCTTGTTCTGGGGGGAAAATATCCTCTCTATGGAAAAAAGACTGAGGGGCAGCTCTTGTAGTCAACGAGCTGGAAAGATTATTCCATGAGAAGGCCCTTCTTGGGAAAACATTAACCTGTCCTGTTGCCAGAATAGTGGAGGCTGGGTGACCCGCCACAGGGGTGCCAGGCTCCTGCAACAGGCCTCCTTGGTTTCTCAGAAATGACTAAATTCATTGATTCTTTTATCAAAACATGTCACTGGGGGAAAAAAATCCGAGGTTAAAAATGGCTCCAGGAGCAAAAAGATGAGGATTTAGTTTAGCTAATGTAATCTAATTTGTTGTTTTCTTCCTTTTCTTTTTACTGGTTTGTATATAGCATGTAAGTTTATTCTCCTGGCAGATATGAGAGTCGCATGCGTCTACATTTGGGCTTAGGAACCCATGCCACATATTCGGAAGGCAGTTACCTATGTTGCCCTCCACCATTTGCAATTGCAAACATGTATTGCTGCCCAAGAGTGAGTGGGTTCCAGGCCTAGAGGAAAGCCTGGGTGTAAATTCTGTTTAGACACAAACTACAGAACCCTTGGAAACTGGGTTCTGATGGCAGTGGGACCATTAGCTCATAGAACTTCAGAAAGTACATTACTGTTCCCTTCTTTCTGTTGGGAAGCAAAAGTCTTTTTTTCTGGCTAGATGGGTACATTGAATAAAATATCGAATTGCCTGATTCATGTAAAGTGTTTGGCTTCAGCTCCAAATTCAAAATTCCCTTTCTTTTTTGAGAAAGTCAACCACAAGATCTATGATTTTAAAGTAGTTACTAATTTAAACATTACTGAGAGTGGTATTTATAATATGCCAGGGGCAGGAAACAAGTAGCCAATTTTTAGAGTGAACTAAAGATAGAATCAGAGAGGAACCTGGAGAGTGATGTTGTTTTGACACAGGAGGAAGTGGCTGAAATGCTTCTTACCAGTCGTCGCTGACTGTTGTAAATTTCGTTTGCACAGCTCTGGACCCATGCGCACTGGGCACACACCAGTGCCAGCATGTGTGTGTCAGTGACGGGGAAGGCAAGCACCACTGTGAGTGCAGCCAAGGATATTCCTTGAATGCCGATAAGAAGACATGTTCAGGTGAGGCTGCTTAAGGGGTGGTGGCTGATGGAAACTTACCTGGGGACTCACCCCAGGTTTTGGACTGCCTTATGCTTTTCTCCTAAATGCCCTGTGGTGGATTTACTGTTATCAATGACTTTTCTTGAAGAGGAACATGAGGAGAAAAGTGAGGTAATACCTAAAACAGCCTATTACAGTACTTATTACTAGGTTTAGAGAGAAGTGTTAGTAGGGGAGAGGGCTAGTGAGGAAGGGGACCAAAACTCTTTGTCCTTTCGAGGTTTTGGATTTTTTTTTCCTGGGTTTTATTTCATTAAATACAAGCTCCTCTTACCTGTCTGTGACCGTAGAATATTCATGGAATCTAGAAGTGGAAGAGAATCTAGGGAGGTTCTCACTCATCTGCTCTATGAATACTCACGTACAATCAATGAAGAGTGGGAATTAGGTCCAATTTGTTAAACCCTAGAAAAAAGTTTTTGAGAGGAAGAAAACTTAGAGATCATTTAATTCAACCTGCTCATTTTATAGAAAATGAAATTGAGACCTGCACAAGAAGGGAGACTTACCTACCCATGTCATGGGGTCTGTTAGTGAAAGAGTCAAGACCAGGAAGTCCAGCAGGCTTCCTCTCGTGCCAAGCTGTCCCATTTCATTAGCACTGTGTGTGTGTGTGTGTGTGTGTGTGTGTGGTGTGGCCCGTAGTTATTTATTTACCATGTTTTCCATGTGTTGACATTTGTCCTGATCATCTTTTGATAGTTATTAATAAGTGTGCTCTTAACACTCACGGCTGTGAACACATCTGTGTGAACGACAGAACTGGCTCTTATCATTGTGAGTGCTATGAAGGTTATACCTTAAATGAAGACAGGAAAACATGTTCGGGTAAGTGGGGGCAGAGGCTTTACTGTTGCCTCCCTGTTTACCTATCTCCCTAGTCAGTGTTTGGCGGGGGTCACATCGACGGGGAGCTTGGTCTCTTTTCCTCTCTTGCCATCTTGGGCTTTTCCCCTTTCTTATTAGAAAAGTTATAAATGGTAGCATGTGTGTCTCATGACGCACATGTGTGAGTGTGTTATTTCCTTCTCTGTACCCAGCCCTAAGAGTCCTTTCCAGAATCTAAAGACAATTAAGTATGTGAAAATCAAACAACAGCCCACAAGGTACTTACTACTTACAGAAAGAAAAGCAGTCATTCCATAGTGGAGAAACCTGACAGACACCACTTCAACCAAGACATCAGAGTTAACATCAGCATCAATAACACACAGTGACGTCATGCATCTCCTGACATGATGTTCTAAGGGCACAATAGCACTTCTGTGGTATTCTTGCTAAAAATTCAGAATCATGAGGAAACCTCAGACAAACTGAAATTGACAGACATTCTACAAACTAATTTTTCAGTAATTTTCAAAAGCGTCACAGTCATGAAAGGCAAAGACAGACTAAAGAAATGCCCCAGATTGGCAGAAACTAAGGAGATGTGACAACTTAATGCAATGTGTGATCCTGGATTGGATCCTGGACCAGAAAAAGGACATTAGTGGTGGAACCATTGGCAAAATTTGAATAAGGTCTGTAGGTTAGTTAATGGCATTGTATCTGTATTAGTTTCCTGGTTTGGGTAATTACAATGTGCTTATATAGGATGTTAACATTTGGGGAAATGGGGTGAACTACTGGATTTTTTTCACTATTTTGGAAACTTTTTCATGAGCCTGAAGTGATTGCAAAACAAAAAGCTCAAAGGTAAAAAAAAAAGTTAAAAAATATCATGTCAGTGCAGAGAAAAATACATTGAGTAGCAATTTGGGTCTTGAGCTCTGATGCTGTTCTGAGTCATTTGGTCTCCTTTGGACTCAGTTTCCTCATTTATTACAGGAGAGGGTCGAGCTACAGTTTCTTCAAAGTCTAATTCTATGTCTTTCTGATTCTAGTATAATTCGTCCCGCAGCTGTTAGAATCCCTCTGATTCAGCATAAATACAACGAATCTAAAAGGAACGCTTTAGAAAGTATTCATGAGATACTTCGATTATAAAAGCTCAGTATAGGCCTCCCCTGGTGGCGCAGTGGTTGAGAGTCCGCCTGCCGATGCAGGGGACGCGGGTTCGTGCTGTGGAACGGCTGGGCCCGTGAGCCATGGCCGCCGAGCCTGCGCGTCCGGAGCCTGTGCTCCGCAACGAGAGAGGCCACAACAGTGAGAGGCCCACGTACAGGAAAAAAAAAAAAAAAAAAAAAAGCTCAGTATAGATGATTCTGAAAAGGAGTGGGGAAAAATAGAAGCATAAGCATTGTGTGTGTAGGAGTTTGTTTTACTCAGCTAATTCCTAGTGAGAGCAGATATTACTGATGGCTTTGAGTGGTTTCTAATAAGTTTTCCTCTCTGCATTGCTAGCTGCAAATAAGAAGATTTCTATATATGGCTGATAAAAGACTTTAACACGTTTAATATCTTTTCTTCTGGACTTTTGTTGGGCAGCTCAAGATCAGTGTGCTTTGGGCACACACGACTGTCAGCACATTTGTGTGAATGACAGAGCTGGGTCTCATCACTGTGAATGCTATGAGGGCTACACTCTGAATGAAGATAAAAAAACGTGTTCAGGTAAGGTCCACTCAGTAAATTCTTTCATCCGGGGCTCTTTCTATACTGCAGTGAAACCAACTTGCATTTCACCAAGAGAGAGATTCTTAAAGGTAATGTAAGGAATTGGGCTTCAGACATTCTACCATGCTTTTCAGACCAAGGTAAACATTGCTCAGGAGGCAGTGAGCTCACTAGGTTTTGCAAACATAGCTCACTTCAGAAAATTACTGGGTAATGGGTAGGGAGTGGGGGATATAAGAAAAGCTAATTGAATGTACGGTCCTAATCCAGGAAAATTTTATAGCTCTGTAAAGCAAATAGGAAACTTTAGAGGAAGTCAGCTGGACAGTAAGTATTTGGTGTGATAGGCTGAACTGATCTTTTTCCAATTAAAACTTGGCCTGGAACTTTTCTGTAGCGTTAATCTTAAAGCCAGATCATTTTAGTAAAGGAGGCTTTGTAAATGACTGAATTAGACCCACACAGATCTTCCAGTAAGTTTGAAGCAAGTCCTTCCCTGACAGTTTCTAGATGATCAGTCTTGGGTGAATGTGAGACTTATAACTTGGCAAGGAAGCCCGTGCCAGAACTGCTAATCCTCATCAATTTGATTTAAACTCACCGGCAGAACAGAGTGGCATTTGTAATATAAAACCACTCCTAAGAGAAATTCCTAGCTCTCAAGGTGGTGTTTAGTTTTGGCATATTCAATATTTTTTTAGATTTTATGTATGCTTTTCTCTTCCTTGAGATGTAATGTGTGACCTTTTCAAGAGAGATTAAAGGAAGTGGCATATCACTAATTCCCTTTTTTTTTTTTTTTAAATGAGATCAATAAAAGAGTTCTGAGCACCTATTTTGTTCCCAGGACTCTGCTAAGCACTGTGGGGATGTAAGGAAGCATCAGCTTCTGCCTCTGAGCTACGTACAGGCTGGGTGCAAGGAGAAACAGCACCTTAAGAAAGCAGGGACTCTTAGCCAGGGAGAGGGACCGACAGTGACTAAGGGCGGGAGGGGCTGGGAGGCAGGAGGTCTGGGATGGACACAGAGGGCTGGGACTGGAGGTGGGCCTCGGCAGGAGGGCGGATAAGGCTTAGATGGAGGAGTGGAGAGGGCAAGGGCAAGGGGAGTGGCTTGCACTGGTTTGTTCAGGGGGTGGGACTAAGTCAGTTGGATGGAAAGGACTCAAGGCTGCCCTTCTCAAACCGTTACAAGTATCCCTCTTGGTACTTTAAGCAGGATCTTTAATTTGAAGACCTGGGAAAAGGAAACAAAAACACATTTACATGTAAACTAACAGATATTATGGCATAAAATGGACCATTTTATTAAAGAAAGAAATCAAAGGAGATTTTCAGTTAAGGCAGACTACTCCAGGCAACACTTCCAGATAATGGTTTGCCAACATTCTTCAGTGCCTACTGGGTACCATGCACAGTTCTAGGCATTTTAGGCACAGTCACACATTTACTGCTCACAGCAACTTCACTCACAGCAACTTTACAAGGAAACTGAGGCACAGACAAAGTAACTTGCCTATGGTCACTTGCCTAGTGAGTAGCAGAGCCAGGATTTGAACCCAGGCACTTGCTCTGGTGGTTACATATGCTCTCAAACACTAAGCTACATGTCTCATGGTGCAAAGCACAGGACAGCAAAAGGAGATAGAAGAAAAAGATGAGATGGTGAGAAGCTGGTATTTATATATTTTACAGCAATAATGGATGCCATTCTAAAACTGGAGTACACGACATGGGTCAGATCCCCTCTAATGGCCTGCCTTCCCCTTGCTGGGCAGTGGCAAGGTCTGTAAATTAAATGTGGAGCCCCAGATCACGGGCCAGGGGCTGGAGGCACATCCACTTGTTATCGCTAGAGTCGCTGCTAAGCTGGGCTGAGGGGAAAACAAAATGTTCTGCTAGTAGACATTTTGCTGGAAACATCTGAATTGTAGTAGTGAAGGGGAAAATCAGTGCGAAAGTTGGAAAGACACTATGGATAGATTACCTAGGGCCTTATGCTTCATGAACAGCTGTTTTATAGGCAATAGTGAGCCATGGAAGGTTTGTGAGCATAAAATGACTCTTAAGCGGAGAGTTAGAGGAGAACAAATGAAGTAGTTTGGCTTCTGCAATGGCCGAGGAAGAACCTATGTATCCCAGGAAGCCCTTGTTCCTTGTATTTACTTGTGACAGACACAAATGCTTCCCTATCCAGTCATACACACCATCACCATCATCATCATCATCATCATCGTTATTATTTTTCCTCTATCTCTGTGTGTGTGTGTGTGTGTCTGTGTGTGTGTGTGTGTGTGTGTGTGTGTGTGTGTGTGTGTGTGTGCAGGCCAGTGTTTTCTGTCCCACTTTAAGCATCAAGGTCAGGCCCTTGGTCAACATAGTTTTTGTGTAGCATCAAATGTAACTCCATGTACAGGTAGGTCCCTAATAATTTATTTTTGGTGATGGTGAAGATGATCTGTGTATAGCTGGAGAGGTTGGAGGCATTCATGGTCATCAGGAAAGGCTGGAGATAAGTTCTGGAATAGAATCAAGGCTCAGTGCAGCCCCAGGACTGCAGATAGCAAAAAAAGAGAAGGCACCGAGATAGCTGCAAGAGATAACAAGGAAAGGGGTGTGGGATAGGGAACGGGAAAAGAGGCTCTCTCCTTCTGAAACATGGGAGACGCGTTGCTGACGACTGTAGGATTCATTTGCTGCACTTGTTGGCACCGAACCAAAGCTTCTTTCTCCCGGAAGTCTGTGTTTAGTTTCCAGTTGTAATTTGTGAATATTCTCTTTCCTGACCCATTCCTGGTCAGTTCGTAACCAGTGTGCACTGGGCTCTCATGGGTGCCAGCACATCTGTGTGAATGACGGGGCCGCGTCTTACCACTGCGATTGTTATACTGGCTACACCTTGAATGAAGACAAGAAGACATGTTCAGGTAAAGACTGTCCCTTTAAGCCTAATTCATGTGCTAGGAGAGTCTTAGGAGTGAGCTTTCCTGCCTCCAAGTCTGAAGCACGCTTCTGAGTCTTCCTCCTTGGTCAGAATTCTCCAGTGGTTCCCAAATGTCTTCAGAATGAAATAATTCTACCTTTCCACCAGGCATCCTTCCCTCCATGGTCTGATTCCATTTTTTTTTTTCCTAATTAAAGTCTCTCCCTAAATCCAGGTTTTTCTTTAATTACAGTAAAATATACATGACATAAAATTTAGCATGTTAACCATTTTAAGTGTAGTCCAGTGATGTTAAGTACATTCACATTGCTGTGCAACTATCCCACTGTCCATCTCCAGAACTTTTTTTATCATCCCAAACTAAAGCTCTGTACCCATTAAGCAAAAACTCCCCATTCCACTCTCCCTACCCCTGGTAACCACTCTTTTTCATCTTGTCACTGCATTTGGCCCCAGATTCACTCCTTCTCTCCAAGACCTGTGATCCAGCCACATGGACTGTTTGATATTCCTGGAGCATGCCCTGTACTCACCTGTCTCCATCCTTTACTGTACTCTGCTTCCCTTGCCTCTTCTGCTTGTCAAAATCCAAGAACCACATCCTTGCCAACGTTTGGTTTTGTTGGATTAAACTTTTGTCAGTCTGGTAGATGTAAAGAAGCATCTCCCTGTAGTCTTTCTTTTCCCCGTTTCCTGGTTACTAAAGAGGCTAAGCTTCTCTTCTTATATTTATTTGTCACTTCAGTCTCTTATCTGGAAAATAAGATCTTATCTATTTATGCCTTTATTTTTCTATTGGGTTATTTATATTTTTCTTACTTATCATAACAACTCTTCACATGTCTGGATATAAATTCGTTGTTGTTTTCATGTGTTGCAAATATCTTCTCTGAGATTGTATTTATATTTCCACTTCTTAAATGACGTCTCTGCAACAGCATTCGTTATGTTTTCATTCTTAAGTTGTGCGGTGGGTTTATCATGCATTCGTTTTTATGCATTAGGAGGCATTTGTCTTTATTATGCATCATAACCTACATCAGTGTCCTATAAATTACTTTTTGTGAATCAAATGTTACAAAATAATGTCTGTTTGTTTAATTTCCAGGACTAGTTCAGTTTTTACCCCCTCTACCAGAATTCCCCTTATTCTTCCATTGAACTGTGTCCTCTTTTTCAGCACTGGATGCCTTGTGTTGTGGTTACTTGTGTGTTCCTTCAATCATTCCTTCATCCAATCAATAAATATAGCGTCTGCTATGTTCTAGGCGCTAGGTATACAATCATGAACAAAACAGGTATGGTCTTTGGTAACAGTCTAGGGGGAAAAGACGAGTACATAACACATTTATAAATTAAGAGCAGTGATGGAAGAGAACAGAATGGGGGTTGGGGACCCTATTTCAGGTTGGGAGGGTCTCTCTGAGGAAGTGGCGTTTGAATGCTGAGGATCAGCGGCAGGTAGGTTGAGACTGGAGTGCTGGCGGAAGGAGGGAGAGCAACGCCAGGTCCTGAGTGGTGGCTTTAGTGGGGAGAGGAGGTGAAAGGCCACCCGTGTGACGGAAGCGTGACCAGCCAGGGATAAGTGTGGGGTAAGGCAGTTTGGAGAGTTAGGCAGGGTCAAATCATGCTGCTGCTCTGGGGCATGGGAAATTCTACGAGAAATGGGAAGTCGTGGAGGGTTTTTAGCAGTGGAGCAGCACGATGCTGTTTATATTTTTAAAAGTCACTCTAGCTGCCGTGTGAACAGCGGATTGCAGGGGATGAAGAGCAGAAGAAGACCAGTTCGGGGGCTATTGCAGTTGGGCTGGGATGGTGACAATGTGACAGCAGTAAACTGATTCCAGACATGTTTTGAAGGTAGGATGAACAGGGCTTGGTGATAAACTGGATGTGGGGATAGGATGGGGGCGGAGTAGGATGGCTTTCCTATTCCACTTGAGCAGCTGCAAGGATGGGCTATCTTTACTGAGGGGACTGAGAGTGAAGCAGAGCTGGGGAAGAAAATGCAAGTTTGGGACTTGTGGTTTTGTGCTCCTGTAGACCCCAAGCACCACGGGTAGCAGCTTTTGTCTGTACTCTTAGCGTCTACCGTACACGTGACAGCTACTCAGCAGATGCTTCTTCATTTGAAGTAAAGTGTGGATCAGTTTCTTGGGGACGCTGAGGGTTAATAAGGAGCAGCTTGCTTGTAGAATTTGAGTATTTCTGGGTGCTGTCTTCCTATCTTAAGTGTTTAATCTTCAGAAAAATCAGTCTTGGGCACTTTTTCTTCTCCTGGAAGGTGAGGGTTCCACAATGGTTTATAATGGCTTAGGCTCTGACCTCATTTCTTTAGCCATTCACTTATTTATTTGTTCAGCAAGTATTCATGGAACTTCTGTTCTATATCTAGTACTCTGTTAGGTCCCGAGGAAGTAACTGGAGACAGATTAATGTTTTGTGGTTTGCACTGTACAAGTCTTGCACTACTTTTGTTACATTTATTCCTAAATATTTTATTCTTTTTGCTGCCAGTGTGAATAGATCCATCTCTCAACTTTCAATTGTTCAACATCCCAGTTTTCCAGTTTTCTATGGGGTGTTTTAAAGAGAATATTACACTGAGCCCCTACCCTCACAGAGCTTATAGGCTATCAGGCAAGATATACTGGAAAAGTATCATAGGTACCAATTTTATACTCTGTACAGGGATGATGGGCATATACTTGATATTCAGTAGATACTTTTTGGCTTACTAATTAATTTACTGATTGAGATGGGGATTTGAGCTGGCTGTCCCTAAAAGTTTCAATAGGATTTAGACAGCTAGATAGATTAATCAAGTGAATTTATGGTCCTCCAGCCCTGTATCTTTATCTTTGTATTGGGTTGACCAAAAAGTTCGTTCCGGTTTTTCTGTAACATTTTACGGATAGAATGTGGGAGAAAATGCAAGAGCAAAGGACTCCTCTTTGTCTCCAAGCAGTACTGCTACTCAGTTGGAAGATTATTCATCAGTCTTCAGATCTGGAAGTTACTCTTATTTCTGTTAGGCAACTTTAGGGGCTATGATATTGAGTAGGAATAGCTGCCTCACTGAATTACAGAAAGCAATTGGAGTTAGAATTATCATTCTCCCATGTTCTTTGCTTAAATGTCAATACAAACCTGAATTTTTAGTTCCAAAGTATTTATGGGTAAGAACTAGAATTCTCAGTTCAAACCATTCAGTAGAATAATTGTATAGGAAATCAGGAATTATCTAGTTTTTTTTTGTTTTTTGTTTTTTTTTTTTGCGGTAAGGAATTATCTAGTTTTAAACCTTGAAATGTTCTGGCCGCACAAATAGAGGACTGTTTTCCTCATTTTCATTTTTGAAAATTGAAGTGTTGGGGCTTCCCTGGTGGCGCAGTGGTTGAGAGCCCGCCTGCCGATGCAGGGGACGCGGGTTCGTGCCCCAGTCCGGGAAGATCCCACGTGCCGCGGAGCGGCTGGGCCCGTGAGCCATGGCCGCTGAGCCTGCGCGTCCGGAGCCTGTGCTCCGCAACGGGAGAGGCCACAGCAGTGAGAGGCCCGCGTACCAAAAAAAAAAAAAAAAAAAATTGAAGTGTTGGTGTCAAGTATACAGCAAAGTGATTCAGTAATATATACATATATATATATATACTATATATATATATAACTTTTCAGATTCTCTTACATTATAGGTTATTACAAGATACTGAGTATAGTTCCCTGTACTATACAGTAGGTCCTTGTTGTTTAACTATTTTATATATAGTAGGGATATGTCTTAATCCCAAACACCTAATTTATCTTCCGCCTTCCCCCAATCCCCTTTGGTAACCATAAGTCTATTTCTGTTTTGTAAATAAGTTCATTTGTATCACTTTTTTAGATTCTACATGTAAGTGATATATGATATTTGTCTTTCTCTGTCTGACTTACTTTACTTAGTATGACAATCTCTAGGTCCATCCATGTTGCTGCAAATGGCATTATTTCATTCTTTTTATGGCTGAATAGTATTCCATTGTATATAGGTACCACATCTTCCTTATCCATTCATCTGTCGATGCACATTTAGGTTGTTTCTATGTCTTGGCTATTGTGAATAGTGCTGCTATGAACATTGGGGTGCATGTATCTTTTCAAATTAGGGTTTTCTCCAGATATCTGCCCAGAAGTGGGATTGCAGGATCATATGGTAGGTCTATTTTTGATTTTTAAAGGAACCTCACACTATGTTCTCCATAGTGAACATTTTCATTTCGTAATGAGTACACAGTATCACAAGGGATTGTCTTATCTCTGCATTCTTGGCTTCTCCCTGCATCAACTTAAATATTTACTTTATATCATGGAAAATTTCAGACAATTACAAAAGTATAGAGAACAATAGAATGAACTCTCATATAACCATCACCCAGCTTTGACGATTGTAAACTTTTCCTCAACATCTCTAACTCAGTTTCTTTGGTGACAAAGTCCACAGTACTTTCTCCTCTTTCCATGTGCTCTTATATTCTTTTATCTCCTAGAAAATGCATTCAGGTAAGAATTAAAAAAGGAAGTATTGAGTCACAGATTTCCTGATTTGCTATGATTTCTAATTAGCTATAACATTTTGTGTATTGTCATTGTCTTCAGCCATTGCAGAAGCACGAACACTCATCTCCACAGAAGATGCTTGTGCATGTGAGGCCACACTGGCATTCCAGGATAAGGTCAGCTCATATCTGCAGAGACTGAACACCAAGCATATCCTTTCTGGAAGGTTTTCTGCTTCTGCCTGAAGCCAGCCTAGGTACTACAATTGAGCTGACATTTTAGGACATTCCACAGGATAAGTGCCTTATTCATTAAGTTTTAAGATGAGCCATAGTAATACACAGCTTTAATTTTTTTACTTTAGAGTTCTTTTAAAATGTTTTAAGACTGTTACACCCATTCTTATTTACATGTAAGAGCTGTGTAATTATTTATTTCTCTAGTGCTTTTCCATAGCAGTATAAGCTCCTAATTGCGCTCTATTTGACAGTGCTATTATCCTGATTCCTCAGTATGACTTTCTTATTCAGAATCTGTACATGTACAAAACGAGTCAGCTGATTAATGGAGTGTGATAGTTCAGACGACACATAGCTGTGTGCTTTGTCTAGCCAAGTGGTCAGAAAGCAGATTTCAAAATGTAACATGGTACTACCTCCGAAACTTTCAAAATCAGTTTTTTAGCCAAAGGAGTAATTCAGGAAAAGTACTTTTTCTTAGCGTAGTTCAAGTTAACAACACCTTTCCTAGGGATCTTAGAGGCATGGTATTCAGACTGTGATAGGGATACCCTAGGGGTATGCAGAGACTTTCCAGGGGTATGTGGGGACACAGAACATTTTAAAGGAATCAATTTCCAAATCCTTCACTTCCTTAAATCGATCTGCCTACAATGCAACTTGGGGTCAGTTGGCATTCTCTTTTCCCATCTCTCACTTCAGTGTCACCATTCTCCTAAATTTATACAAGAAAGGCATACCTCTTACTTACCCTGAACTTAGGTGAATTTCTTGGAAAGGTAAAATCTCCAGAGAGACAAATAAAGGGCCAGTTCAACAGTTTTTTAAATTAAGCCTTCATAAACACATCTCCCCCAATTCATCCCATTAGGAGATACCTTTCTAATTAAAATTTACCTTTTATTTTTAATGATTTTATGTTAAAACTTGTGACTTATTCGTTGTTTGGATCAATTGTGTCCCCATAATAGTTGTAATGGTAGCTCAACTGAGACGATTAAAAAAATTTAGCACCTCACGGTCAAAGAAAATTAATTCAAAGGTAATTTCAATATAAATGTGTATGTGCTTGTTGTTTGTATAAAGTTTACATCAGAGAAGTATAATAGAGTGATAAAGAACAGATTTCCAAGATTCAAAGTAGAATAAAATTGTGGAGGAAGTAGAAAGGAAATACAAATTCAAGGAAATATTTTATTTTAGAAGAACAACAGTAGTAACAATTCAGTATGTTATTAATATTACATGGGATACATTTAAAAGACTGATTTAAATTTTGTTTTAAAGCATCGATATTTATAATATAGCAGAAGTTGCATATCTGCAACTAAAACTTATGATGAAAATTTTCATGTAATCTAAATATGCACAATATATCACTTATTTGTCAAAATTATTTTAGGGGACATATGAATGAAAAGTGTTTGAAGACCACTGCTTTATATCATGCTCGCTAAAGAACAGAATATCTGAGTTTTAGATAGATTAGATTTTTGGTGAGAAAACAATTTCACTCTTTTTGTTCAAAATAGAACTTATAAATATAAATATAAATATATATATATATATATATATATAATCTCGTATTGAAGTGTTTGAAAGTGTGGTTTGCATTTTCTAATGTCTAAAAATATATGGTGTTAGCCTTAACGACTTAGCCACTTGATGACATTTTGGAGAAGTTGGCAGCAAATGAATATGGACAAATACATCGTTAAATTCCTCAAATTTTTTACGTGGAAATATGAAGCATTTGGTGTATTTAATACTTTGGCATACTCCAGTGTTCCTGCTAGTAATCTGCCATTACCAATGCTTTAATGTTACTGGATGAGTAGTATGAGGATCTTCTGGAGAATCTGTATCATTTTTCTAAGGAAATAAATGTCCCTTATAAAGAGCAAATTTTAGTGTCTCTAAGCTATGACTGTGAAATGGTAGGAAACAGAATGAAAAGTTTCATAATTTCTTTCTTTCTTTACTAATTGAGCCATTTACGTTTTTAATGTTTATATTAGTAAGATAACCAGGATTAAAATGTGAACTTTTGATCTGTTTTCTTGATAGTATTTACAGTGTAAACCAGTCTTGTTACTTTAGAGTGTAAATTGTACAGGGTATTTACACATAAAAAGTTCATATAATTAAATTGAGATGAATACAATTTAGAACTATAGCTTTATCACTTTTTGTTTTTTTCTCATTTTTGCCAGAGTATTGTTGAAGCTGTGATCAGGAGATTGTAATACACATACCTAAATATAGTTAATACAGATTAAGTGAACTGTTCTATGTCATTTTTAATTCATTCTGATGTTAGAAAGAAACACACAACTAGTTGTGAATTAAGTGTTAAACGTTTTACCAAGGACAAAAAACCCTAAATTTACTTTACTGTTTTACTCTAGGATCCAGTCAATAAAATTATATATTTATAAATACTGGTATAATAGGTAACAAAACCTAATGTCTTTTAAAATGTTAATGATAAGCCTAACTCTTTTTTTCACTTACATATTTGATAATTTTTTTTTCAGCTTTTATGCTTGTAACTTTTAGAAAAAAATACTTCTTTAAATTGTATACTACTCATTCTTTTCTTGGTTTATGTTGTGTTTAGTAATAATAAAAATATCAATATCTTTATATATTATTGTCATGCTTTTTTTTTGGTAACTCTTATATCAACTTTGTCTATTAACATATTTTCTTAAACTGAATTACAGTTATTTTGAATGAAACAGTTTCTTGTCAAAGGACACAATATTGTGACTCTTCCTATAATTTAATCTCATGCTCTTAAAATTAAAAATTTAAGCTCAGGTTAAACAGAAAGGCTTTAAATCAAGAATGTTGTGGGAGAGGGAATAAAACAAAATTACATGAATTCAGATAAAATAATGATGAGGGCACATTAATATATGCACTTGAAAAGAAAATATAACCTACAGATGCAAACCCAGAAACAGTAAAAAAATCTAAAATATAAACTGTAAAGGGAAGACGTGAAAAATGAACACATCAAAGGCAGTAAATATTATATGAAACATTTATTGTTATTGCTCAACATTTTTGAAAGCACCTGACATAGAGCAAGTATTATTTTCCAAACTTATTTGAGCACAAATCGGTTATATTAATATATCACAAAGAAATGGTGTTATAGGAGGAATAAATGAGAGCTCATGTGCAAGAACTAGGGAAAGGTATTTAAAGAGAGACAAATTTTCAAGAGTGTGACCATCAATAGCTTGAACTAATCATGTCTTAAGCTTAACCAGTTGACTGGAATCCCCTGGCTTAGATAATTGATTTTTTTTCTTGAGTCCAGTATAGGGAGCCCATGATCCGGTGCCAACAAACATATCTTAGGGATGTAGCTGGTGCTGAAAAAGATACACATTCATCTGAAAACAAACATATTATCTGAATGGGATCGGGCTTAAGTTTGGGAAGGATTTCTCAGGGAGACCTGATGTGTGCGTTTGGCTAGGCGCAACTGGCCAAGGAAGCAGGAACATCATAGGATATATAAAATGGCCTTGGAAGCACACAGGAATAGTGGGACTAAAAAAAGCATATTGGCTTGCTTAAAGTGGGGGCACCAAAGCAAAAACATCTTAAGACCGAAGGAAGATCTGATTTTAGCTTGGGTTTAGATTTAACAGGAAAGGCTAGTACCATTGTCAATTTTCGAGTATGCTGGGTGAGGCAAGAGACTCGGGTCAAAGGATTTGAACGTTATTTGCCTGAGACGGGGAAAGACTCTAGGTGGGGAAATAAGCTACTGTTGCATAAAGTACACACTAGATTATACAAATCAACAGTCGTAGCCGCAAATATGGTAAAACGTAAAACCAGAGACAAAAAAACAGATGAGACTGAATAATTTCACAGGAGTTTCTGCGCTATGTCTAAAACTGTGGTGGTGTGTAACTCTCCAAGCATTCAGAAAGGACAAGGAGAATTGAAGAAAGAAATAAGGTAGAAAAAGAATACAGTGGACCACAGGCAAGAAAATACCAAACACCTCAAGTACTTAAAAATGGGAGGCTCTGCCCCAATGGCAATTATATGCTGTAACAGCCCACAGCTCACACATATTTTTTCTTTTTAAAAATTAAAAAGAAAAATTGAAGTGTAGGTAATTTACAATGTTGTGTTAGTTTCAAGTGTACACACTTATTCTTTTTATAAGGACCCTTGGGCTGCAGTAACAGCTTAAACAAGTTGTTAAAAAGTACTAAAACAAACAGAATTAACAAAATCTCCTACCCCCAAATTGCTCCAGGGGGCTCTCCCATCCCCAAAGGCACAAAGGAAGGTTTGCACGCTCTGAAAATGCACGTTTGTACCTTCATTTGGCCAACGGCGCCAGTCTACCAAATACAGTAAATAACTTTTCCCTTTCACAATACTGGGACTTCGGGGCTTACAGAACACCTCATCTTTACGACCTCATTTTAATGGGCGGCCTTACTGACTTGGTACTGACACCTCAGCCGAGTTCCGCCGCGACCGTCCGAGGTGTGGCCGGTGCTCGAAGCCCGCCCAGTCGGAGGGCAGCTGAGGCTACGAGCCAGGGCGCTGGGCAGAAAAGCCCAGAAGCAAAGCGACCAGATCCAACGCGCGACCGCGGGTCTACCAGCCCCGCGACGTCCGCGCAGGCGTACGACGCCCGGCGAGGCGAGGACGACGCCGGAAGTGTCCCTCGGCGCCCCGGATGCGACCCAGCGGCGGCGGTTGCCAGGGCGACCGGAGCTTCCAAGAGCCGCGGGTACTAGCGATTGGCGGCTTAGAAGAAGTTTCCTGTGCCGGGCTTTATCTGCTGGCGTCGTCCTCTCGGGGTTCCCAGAATGTTCTTTTACTTGAGCAAGAAAGTGAGTTTCCCGGGGTTCGCCCTCGCTCCTCCTCTGGTCTCTGGACCTGCGGGCGATTCCCGCATCCTGCCGGAAGGGCCATGAGTGGTGATCCCGGCTCCGACATCCCTCCGCCCACCTTCCTGCATGGTCCAGCCTCGAACCTCCGCCTGATGCTCTCCAAGACCCAAATAGTCCTTGGCGGAGACAGCAGCCCTCGCGCATGATTCCTTCCCATTCCTGCCCCTGGTTAGGTCCTTTTGGGGGGCCTGCAGGGCTGATCACTTCGTGCTTCCCTGTCATTCCTCCTTCACCTGTTGCTTATCCAGGTGATTTAAACTCTTCTGGATCATCACAGGCCTCTGGGCAGGAGAAAAGTAATAAAAAGGTAGCCAAAGTGTATGCAGAAAGGGAATATGAATTGATGATATAGATTTATACTTCCGTTATCCCTACCCCCTTTTATTTATTTATTTTTAAAAAATATTTATTTACTTATTTGGCTGCGCAGGGTCTCAGTTGCAGCACGCGGGATCTTCATTGATGCCTGCGGGATCTTTTGGTTGCGGCATGCGGGATATTTAGTGTGGCATGTGGTATCTAGTTCCTTGCCCAGGGATTGAACTCAGGCCCCCTGAATTGGGAGCGGAGAGTCTTAACCACTGGATCACCAGGGAAGTCCCCCTCCCCCCTTTTAAAAATCCCTCAGGTCACTCCCCATTGTGTTCCTCTGCAGTCACTGCCCTTCTCTTTGTGGGCAGTCCTTTCTTTCTTTCTCAAATGGGCCCAGGGCAGTTCAGGGGACTATGCTCATTTTCATAACGGCTCACATTTCTGCAAGGCTGGCCTTTTTTCTTCTTCAGGCTTCGTTTCCTGTAGACTCATTCCCAACCCCTTGGTGAAAAGCTGTGAGAGTGGGTGTGGTTGCTTTTCAGATTGCCATTCCCAATAATGTGAAGCTGAAATGTATATCTTGGAACAAGGACCAAGGATTCATAGCATGTGGTGGTGAAGATGGATTACTGAAGGTTTTGAAATTAGAGACACAGACAGGTAAATGAATGCAAGCCCAAATGTTTGAACTTGATGGAAAATCATTTGGTCAGAGAGATTTGCCCATGGTATTTGTCAGTATGCAATTGTAATTCTTTCAAAAGGAAAAAGAACAAAACCCCAAACATTCTGGGGTATTATTCTAGAGTATTTTTGTAACAAAGTTCAGAAAATATTGAATGTAAACATCAGATGGCTTTTGCTGAAATTATTGATGGCAAATGAAAATGAATGAAGAATGAAAACTAAGTCATTATGTTGTTTTATGCTATGTGTATTGGTTGTGCTATATAAGTAGGAGTCTAAAATAAATAAAATAAAATAAAAATGATGTGAATCAGCATTTCAGTAAGGTCACAAAAATCTCACATTTTGGTAGATTATTTACAGGCCTATGTTGTCCTTTCCACTTTTCAGATGTGTTAATAATTATGCACCTAGTTCCCAAGAACAGAAAATGGGATTAAAAAAAACATTTTTAGTAATAAGTCTCTTGTGTTTTACAGCTTGATTTCTCTTTTTCTAGTTCTCTGGAATCATAGCAAACAGTTTCACATTTCTTTATTATCTAGTATTGCTCTAGGTCAGAGAGCTAGACAATTCCCAATCTAAATTGGAGATTTAGATAAGGAGATTGGAGTTGGAACCTCAGCTCTGCCATAAGACTTCTGAATGTCTTTCAGCAAGTTGCTGAGTATATCTGGGTTTTAGTTCAGTCTTTTGTAAAATGAAGGGTTGAACTAAATTACATTTTGGATTCCTTACAGCATTGCTTCTCAAGCTTTATCAGGCCTAAGAATCATCTGAAGAGTTTGTTGAAACAGATCTCTGGACCCAAGCCCCAGAGTAGATCTGGAATTCGGTCTGAGAATTTGCATTTCTAGTGGTGCTGGTGTTGCTGAACCTCAGACCGCACTTTGAGTAACACTGCTTTACAGCTTTGGAGTGGTAGTTATAAATATTTATTGAGCACTTTCTGTGTCTGGGGTGTGTAACCTTCACTATCTAATTTGACTTCACAATAATCTTGAGAGGTAGGTATTCCAGATAAGAAAACTAGGTGCTGATCAGTTAATAACTTGCCCAAGGTCACACAGGAAATAAGTGACACAGCTAAGATTTGAAGTAATAGGAATAGAAAAGAATCTTACTTGAGCCAAACTGAGGACTATAGCTGGGGAGGCAGCCTCTCAGACAGCTCTGAGGAACTATTCCAAAGAAGATGGTTTTCAGCATGGTTTTATCTCTTGTCAGAGCAAAGAACATCAAACACGACAGGGGTACATTCCTTCAAGGAATATATTTGCTTCCTATACAGCAAGTCAGTATGGCTTTGGCACCTGGGAAAGGAGCCTTATCATCGAAGGAGTACAAGCATTGAGGTCCCAGCATTGAGGTCTGGATCTGTGTCTCCAGAATGGACATTCTTTACTTCTGGACAATGCACACTTTTCTTTAATGGTTAAAGCACATATACAAGATATGTGTGATAGGCTAAAAAACAGACTGTTCTAATTAGCATAAAGTTTAAGCTGAATAATATGTAAGCCAGAATGACTTCCCCATACCTCAATATGTGAAAATTTCTTCCATCAAGACTTAGTTTGTTTCACTTTCAAAGCCTCATTTTTACCCACTATGTGGAGGGCTCACGGCAGCCTAAGCAAAGAGAGAATAATTGTTTTGATGTGCTAGATTAACTGTATGAAATAAAAGGCAAATTTGGAAGGTAGATATTTATGTACCAATCAGAGTTTGGCTTCTGATGTTTAGTCATTTAATCTCTCAACACTTTAGTTTTCTTAACTGTGTTGAAAGAAAATTTTTGTCTCTGTTATATTTCTCAAATATATATACGTATATGTCCATATACATATTTTTTTCCTTAAAATATGTGGGAAGTTTTAGTTACGTTAAGAAATGCATTTATTATGTTTAATATTGAAGGCTTTTCAAGAAAAAAATCACTTCATTTCCTGTTCTGCACTTAAAAAATATATATATATGCTTTTTAAATTGGTATTTTATTTATTTATTTATTTGGTTGCACCAGGTCTTAGTTGCAGCAGGCGGGCTTCTTAGTTGTGGCTCATAGGCTCCTTAGTTGTGGCTTGCCGGGTCCTTAGTTGCAGCACGCGGGCTCCTTAGTTGTGGCACACGAACTCTTTGTTGCGGCATGCATGTGGGATCTAGTTCCCTGACCAGGGATCGAACCCTGGCCCCCTGCACTGGGAACACATAGTCTTATCCACCGCGCCACCAGGGAAGTCCCTGTTCTGCATTTTTGATGAAGTGTGGTTAGAGTATTCTTTGAAATTAGTGAGCAAGATGGGAAATAGTTTCTTGAGAGGCTTGGAATATGGAGTAAATTATTTGTTTTGGAACTTAATGAGTGTAAATCATGTTGAAAGAGATGAATATGAGAAATATTGTTGGATGATTCTTAAAAGGTCAGTCTATTGTATTTAATAATAATAGTTGTGATGCAACAGATCCCTCCAGTAACAATCACCAGATATTGCATGCCGAGTACATTTGAAGCACTACTTTGCATCCCCTGTGGTGGCATTCCCAGTTTTCACTCCCTTGCCTTAGAAGGAAAGGAACTAGAATCAGCGCTTGCCCCAGCTTCTTACATCAGGTTAAGATGGGGAGGCAGTATCCTCCTTCTCTCATAGGCCAACTTCCACAGGTTTTGCTGGAGCCCACCTCCTCTCACCTTCTCAGGGGCCTCATCACTTTTTTATCCTCTCTCTATCCTTGGAGTATCAGTCTGCTTTCTCCCTCTTTTTTCTCCCTCACCAGTGACTTTCATTTTCCAAATCTCATGGACGGCTTTTATGGGTTATTATCAGCATTTGACCTTTCCTTCTGTCTTGAACCATTATTTTTCAAGACAAAAGGAGAATAGAAATGTTTTAAATTATTGTTATATTTATACATATGGCTTTCCCCTCCTTTCCTTTCTGGTAAGTTCTCAGTCTCTTTACTAGATTCTCCTCTAACTGTTCGAATTCCTGAGAACTTGGTTCTGGGCTCTCTTCGTTTTACTTTCTCTTTAGACTTGTTCTTTCATTCCCTTAGCTTTAAATGCCATCTATGGGGTGACGATTCCTAAATATATATCTGTAGCCCAGTTCTGATTTTTCAGACTTGGACATCTCCGCAAGAATCTTTCACAGGCATCTCATACTTACTTTGTCTAAAACTGAACTCTTAACCTTCTCCCGTATATCTTCTTTCATTTCTCTCCATTTCAGTAAATATCTTAAATTTCACCCATTTGCTCAAGCTAGAATCCCCTTTCTTCCCACTTAACATCACCTTCATCAACAACCCTATGCTTCTATCTCCAAAGAGTATCTGAATCCATCCTTTTCCTTTGTGCCGTGCTACCTCTCTAGTCCCAGCCACTATCAGCTCTCACCTAGACTGTTGTGAGAATCAGCCTCCCTCCCTTCATTGTTTCTTGCCTCTTTCTAGTCTGTTCTTCACACTCCAGCTATTGTGATCTTAAAAAGAAAAAGGAACCAGATCATGTTATTTCCCTGCTAAAAGTCTCTAAAGGGCTGCCAGCTTGGGCCAGAGTTGCTTGTGGTGGGGTTTGAGGGCAATGGCCCTGACTAGAGATGGTCAGATGGCATCTCTTGCTCTTCCTGCCACTGCTGCAGAGGGTGCAGTCTACTCATCTTCATTAGAGGAGGTATCACCCTAAAGCAAACATTCAGGTCAGAGAAAAAGTGTTCCAAGACCATACAAGCCAACTGTAGCCACCTGCATAGTCCTTCAGGAACTGCAGGCAGTGGGAGTGGCTCGGCCTTCCGACGTGCCCATGTAGCGAGACGGATGCGCGAAGCTTCTTGCCTTTGTTCTAGAGATGTTCATAATCCACACCAACTCCGTACCTAAAGAATGTGCTGAAAACCCAAGCTCCAGAAATACCAGGTCAGGTGTCCATAGCTGTATCCATGGATGTGCACATAGTCACTTGTAGCCCATCACGCAGAGAAGCAAGGCAGTCAGGTGATCCTGCCAGGGAGTCTGGAGAACCCATAGCAGCTTCTTCTCAGAACCCCACCCTCTCTTCAAGTGTTACCAAAATGTCTTCCATATATTTTGATCCTGCTTGTGAAACTTACTATGCAGCACATAACAGGAATTTCTCTTGGAATTGGGCTGCTAACAACTTTTATGGATGCAAGTAAAAGCTAACAAGTTTTATGAATGCAAAATGTAAAAACTGATATTTATGAACGTCAGCCAGGTTTTCCTAAGATAAAGGTGCTCAGAGATTTAGTGTGCTTGGTTACTGGTGTTCTGAGCAGGGTCTTCTGTTCTCCTTTGTTGTATCTCTCATTCTCAGTCACTTTATGACAGTTTAATCTTTTTTTTTTTTTTGCGATACTCGGGCCTCTCACTGCTGTGGCCTCTCCCGTTGCGGAGCACAGGCTCCAGACGCGCAGGCTCAGCGGCCACGGCTCACGGGCCCAGCCGCTCCGCGGCATGTGGGATCTTCCCGGACCGGGGCACGAACCCGTGTCCCCTGCATCGGCAGGCGGACTCTCAACCGCTGCGCCACCAGGAAGCCCCCAGTTTAATCTTTTTACATCCTTTGGACTTTTTGAGCTTCTGGGAGATACTTTGGATGGTTGGAATTACTGATTTCATTCCAAAATCCCTCTTCATGGGTTTCAAATGCCTTCTTTTTTTGGTGCCTCCTTTCATCATGCCTTTTAATTCCAAGGGTTATTGGTATGTGCTTTTAGAAGCACATACCATGCCAGTTTGGTTTGTTTATTGGCCATGGGGAGTTTAATGTAACTCAGTGGAGTCTTGGGATCTTGGTGGCTTTACTCCACCTCATTGAAAACTTTTGACTTTTTTTTTTTTTGGACATCAGAACTTTCAGGTAGGTTTTGCAGATCTTTTCTGCATGATCCAGTTCTGGAGTTGCTGCCAGCAAAAGACAGTGTTCAGATGTGGATGCTGTTTGTTCACCATGTCAAGTAGAATTTCAAAAACTTATTGTCATCTGTCAGAACATATTTTGTCAAGAGTCCTGTACTTTGTGGTTTAACAAAGAGAAAACATACCCGCTATGCAGAATTGTGAATTCAGGCCATATAAACAAACGGAAAGATGCAGCTTCCTCCTCACACTTTCCTGCAAACCCTTGGAATCACATATCACTAATTTTACTTGGTTACAGTGACTATGACTACAGGCATTAGAATGGATTTTCAGTGCTATAAGTTAAGAATGTTTGCATCAAACTTTTTTTAAAAGAGTAGAATAAGGCTTAAGTGTGTAGTACAGTCTTTAAAAGAGTCAATGAGTGAAAGAACCCTCTTAAAAAAATAATGTTCAACCTAACATGTATGTCAACAACCTTTATTCTATCCTAATTGTTTTACAGGTGATTGTGATGTTATATATGTGTATTATTGTTAATGTTACCAAGACAGTAACTGGATAATTAGAACTAATGGTTTTAGAGGAACTCAGGTATTTTTTTTCCTGATATTGTTTTCAGAATAAAGAATATTTTTCATAATTTTTTAAGATACATGTTATCTGAAAGGAGAATTTTCTTCAGCATCAACTTTTATAATTCCCACTCTCACAAATTCTTAAGATTTTCATAAATTTGTATTTTTAAATGAATGTTTTAAATGTTGTATTTTACATGTAACAATCAGATTTTCTAAGTGAAGATTAATTTACTGAGATGACATTTTATATTATTGTATTCTTCTCTATAGTATGTTTAGTAATCAAGGAGAATAAGTCACTTTAAATAAAAAATAGTCTTTAAAGGCTTACATTGCACTTTGGATAAAATCTACAATTTTTATCACTTCCTGCAAAGACTTTATAATTTTTTCTGTGCCTGTCAATTCTGCCTTATCTTATGCCATTCTCCACTAATTCAACCACATAGGCCTTCTTTCAGTTTGCCAAAGGCTCTACCTATACTTCTACCCAGAGGCCTTTGCACTTGCTGTTTCCTAGCCTGGAATACTTTCCCCCCTACCTGGCTTGGCTTTTCCCAGTTTCTCCTTCAGTCTCAGTTTAGATATCGTTTCTTCAGAAATCCTTCCCTGGTTCTCCCTTCAATCTAAATTAATCCCCTTCTGTTACTGTCTCCTATTATGCCTTTACTTCCCCAGCTTATAATTTTATATATGTGCATATATATTTTTGTGGGTTTGTGTGTATTTAATATCTGTCCCCTTAGTAGACTACAAGCTCTCTGAGGGCAGAGGGCTTTTGTTCATCATCTATTTTCAGAGTCTTCCACAGTGCATAGAAGAGTGTAGACATTCAATAAATATTTGTTGAATGAATGAATATAAGATTCTGCAAAATCTAGTAAAAACTAGTTTGCAGGCTCCGGATGTGCAGGCTCAGCGGCCATGGCTCACGGGCCCAGCTGCTCTGCGGCATGTGGCATCTTCCTGGACCGGGGCACGAACCCGCGTCCCCAGCATTGGCAGGCGGACTCTCAACCACTGTACCACCAGGGAAGCCCCAAAGTCTTTGCTTTTTGATCCCTCTTATGCTTTTGAATTCTCAATCTATATGTCATAAATACTTCTATTTGTTATCTTTTAGCAAGGAATAAGTAGCAATAATAATTACTAATATATTCAGTATACTGAATAAACAGTGTTCTTTTATACATTTTGCCTTATTTTTCCAGAATAACATCTTTGCAAGGGGGTAGGTGTTATTGTCCATGTTGAGAAAAACAGATCAGGATAAAGCATGCTTAAAAAAAATCTTTCTAGGGGCTTCCCTGGTGACGCAGTGGTTGAGAGTCCGCCTGCTGATGCAGGGGACAGGGGTTCGTGCCCCAGTCTGGGAAGATCCCACATGCCGCGGAGCGGCTGGGCCCGTGAGCCATGGCCGCTGAGCCTGCGCGTCCGAAGCCTGTGCTCCGCAACGGGAGAGGCCACAACAGTGAGAGGCCCGCGTACCGCAAAAAAAAAAAAATCTTTCTAATATTGTCCAGGAATAGGAACTCCTTTCAAAAAAAGCAAGAAATATCAAAATCTTACAATCTGTCACTTTTATATATTTTCCATAGTATTTTTTGTTTTTGTTTTTGTTCTAGATGATGCAAAATTGAGGGGTCTTGCAGCTCCTAGTAACCTTTCTATGAATCAGACTCTTGAAGGTCATAGTGGTGAGTCATGTAAAATTTTAAATCATATTTGAATAGTATTATTTTAGGTATTTAGAAACCATCTACTTAATGCAAAAATGTCATCATTTTAAATGATGGTAATATTTAAAGTAATCATTTCTATTTAGCCGTAATTAACACAGCCTAGAATCATTCAACAACTTTCACATGATTAAATAACATCTTCAGTACATAAGAAAAAAAGTAGCTGTAATTTTAAATATTAAAAATACTGTTATCTGTCTATGGATAGGATATAATCCTTTTTTAGAGTCTGTTTTATAGTCCCAGATAAAAGTAGACTAAAGAGACCCGACAACTGAATGTACTAGATGATCCTAGACTGGATCTTGAAATGAGAAAAACAAGTATCTATAAAGGACATTATTTGGACAATTGATAAAACTTAAATGTGGACTGTGGGTTGGAGATAATATTGTAACAGTGTTAAAATTTCTAATTTGTAAAATAGTTTTGAAAGAGAATGTCCTTGTTCTTAGGAAATATACAATAAAGTATTTAAGGATTAAAAAAACTAAAAAAAACACATTTGTTCCTATAACCCAGAGGTTTAAGAGCTGCTCAAGAGTGTGTTACTACTAGAATGGAAAGCAAGGTGTGGTGCAGGGGGAGAGATTAGGGGACATATTAATGACAAACAAATACCACCTCCCCCAAAAAACAAGTGCTTAGTATGATATCCTTTGGGCATAATAATCTTGGGGAGTCAGGCAAATTGGGTAAATCTTACTTACATTTGTTTCGGTCATCAGATATATGGCAGCTCTTGCAGCTGATCATAATTGGTACCGTAGCTGGCATGAAACAGGAATAAACATGAAAATTAGTATTATGCATTATTGTAGTAATGAGTGATAATAGTAACTGCACCCTATGAACATTTTTGAGTAATATTAAAGACTCTTAATTGCTGTTTGTTGCCCAGGAACAGTATTGATTTTAACATGCTCTTGGTGTTCATTATAAAAATATAAATTTGAAATTAATTGTAGTTCTTTTTTAGTTTCTAAATTGTCTTATAATTTTTTAGGTTCTGTTCAAGTTGTGACATGGAATGAACAATATCAGAAGTTGACTACCAGTGATCAAAATGGTCTTATCATTGTTTGGATGTTATATAAAGGTATCTTAGAAGAGCTTATTTAATCTTTCCCAAATTGGAGTCTGGATTACGGTATTTGAATGGGGAAATAACATCTTTGAAATAGACCCTTTTTAACTGGCAGTAGGAGTTCACAGGGGTGATATTTCTGGGTTTATGGCTTCCTACTTCTCCCTTTAACCTTACTTCTTTTGAACTGTGACCTTGCGTTAAGAAAGTGAATTATGTGACTGTTGGTTATCTTCAAACTGAACTTAGGCTCTTGGCAGAATCGTTTCTGCTTGAGATAGCTCTTTTTTTCAGGTTTCCAGTAAGATTAGTTTCTCTGTGGTCAGTGGCTGGAGTTAGTTCAGCAGATAAAAACACATTCATGAAGATGTCAAAAGCAATAATTAATTTCCTTTAATGAGTCAGCTAACTTCCTTTTCCTTCTTGGATATAGATTTTATCTCTGCTCTGACTACTGGCTCCCAATTTGTGTCTTTTGCCCACAAGAGAGAACAAGAGAGGGATTAATTTAGGTGCATCACTATTACCAGAAAAATAACTCATAAAACATGTTTTCTTGGGGCCTGTAGCCATCATCTTTAAAAGAAAAGTGTACCTTAGTTTATGTGTTTTGTTTTAAAAACATTTACGGTGTATACCTTTTAAAAATTCTTAATTAAAACATGCTGTAGTACACAAACTCATTTATTTATTTTTAAAGTTTATGTCTGTGTATATGTGTAGTGAGTAGAATGTGAAAATATAGGAGATTAAACTTTGTCTTTTTCCAAAGTAGGTCTTCTCTGAGCCTCAGTCTTGATGGATAATACCCTGCTCTGACTAGTTATTCCATGTTACATGATTACTTGCTTGGCTTCAGGCCAGAATTCCCTGTACCAGAATGTAGTAAAGCCTTTTAAAAAACAAAAAGAAAACAGAATAGCCCTGTGATTTGCCTCACATTTGGTTACACCTTGAGACAAGTCACATCTCACTCCAACCCCATGTACAAGAACGTTTTTGTCACTCAGCATTAGTGATGTGATATCACTAATGTGATGTGAACTGTTTAAAAATTTTTTCAAGCAGTCTTAGAGCTCTTACATAATATGCTTATATTTAATATGCCTATAATTAATCATTGGAGAGTTTGTGCATACTTATGAAGTAATTTGGTTATTTTGTTCTTTCCTTGGTTATTATCTGAGGTGTACTCAAGTGGGAAAAGTCAGACTTTGAGAAAAATCAATTGTTTCGGCCTTCAGAAGCAAATGAAGTTTTGTTTTTTAATTGACAGGAAAAAAAGAAGAAAGCAAGAAAGAGAGAGAGAGAAAAAAAAGATGGGCATTTATTGTGTTTTCTGTGATAATCTTTGAAGCAATTATTAGTCAAGGCCTAAGTTATTTTTTCATCTTGTTCTGTTGGATTTGAAGATTTCATAGTTTAATGTCTCAGGTTGTAGAAAGCTTTGCAGTTATTTATCCCACAGTGTATTTTATGGAATGTTTCAACTCTGAAGTACCATTTATTAGATGTGAAAGTTTTGACTTGTGATTTCTTTGTGAAAACAGGCTCTTGGTATGAGGAGATGATCAACAATAGAAATAAATCAGTGGTTCGAAGCATGAGCTGGAATGCTGATGGACAGAAGATCTGCATTGTATATGAGGATGGGGCTGTGATAGTTGGTTCAGTGGATGGTAATGCATTTTTGCACCCAGAGCTAAGATCAAGATTTAGCTGACATTTTTAATCTTTAGAGGTTTAAATTAATGATCATATGTTAGCATTCTGACAGAAAAATAAACATGAAAAGAGAAAATAGTTACTGTACAATTTGATGACTTTTAAGAATTACTTATTTTTAAGTATATTCAAGTAAAAAATCTATTAAAATTTTTTTTTCTACAGTAGGACTAGAAAAAAATGAATTAATTTCTCAGAGTTATTTTAAATATGTCTTCCTAATTATATGATTTATCTTTACACTTGTTAGACTGTATTGTAAATATGTAGATTTTAGTTTCAAAAAGTATATAGAGGGCTTCCCTGGTGGCGCAGTGGTTGAGAGTCCGCCTGCCGATGCAGGGGACACGGATTCGGGACACGGGTTCGTGCCCCGGTCCAGGAAGATCCCACATGCCGTGGACCGGCTGGGCCCATGAGCCATGGCCGCTGAGCCTGCGCATCCAGAGCCTGTGCTCCACGACGGGAGAGGCCACAACAGTGAGAGGCCTGCGTACAGCAAAAAAAAAAAAAAAAAAGTATATAGAGATCTATCACTTTTTAAAAATTGAGATAAAATTGACATATAACATTAGTTTCAGGTGTACAACATAATAATTCAGTATTTTTATTGTGAAATGAAATATTATTTCATTTCATTTCATATTGTGAAATGATCTCGTCTTTTTTTAATAGAACTGAGCATGTCATTGTTTGTTGTGTTTTGTAGCTTTCAAACCTATGTCTTTAAAATTCTAGTTCGTAGATAACAGTGGGCCTTCTGAGAGTCTGTACCTTTGTTTTAGTGTGAAGTTCTCTCTATTAAAGAAAGAATTAATTAAAAAAATTTTTTTGGTATGAAAAAATTCTGTTTCTGAGAGTCTGCAAAGTGACAGCTGTAGTTCTAGGCACTAGATACAACAAAAAAATATTCCAGATCTAGATCAGGAGAGATGGATAAAGTAACCAAGCAATTACATTGTGTTGTGATAGGTACTGAGACAGGGAAAAGACAGCAACGTGTAGAAGAATTATGTAACCTAGACTTAGAGGGACCAGGGAAGGCATCCTAAAGGAAATGATATCTGTGCTGAGGCATTAGCCACAAAGAAGGTTGGTGTGTAGAATGTCCTAGGCCTAAGAGATAGCATTTGAGGAGGTCCAGAGGAGTTGAACTTAGCCATGTTTGGGGATATTGAAACAATTTTGAGAATCAGTATAGAATAATGCTAAAGGAAGAAGAGCTGTATGTGATGAAATTAGAAAGATTAGCAGAAGCCAGATCATGCAGATTATAAGTTATACAAGGAGTTTGGACTTAACTCTAAGAGCATTGGGAAGCCAATGAAAGGTTTTGTTTTGTTTTGTTTTTTTGTCCAATGAAAGGTTTTAAGAATGGGAGCAATGTGGTCAGATTTGTTCTTTAGGAACATCTCTATGTTTGCAATATGAAGAAAGGAGAAAGGGAAGAAAGATGGGGGCAGGTGTACCAGTTAGGAAATTACTATGGTAATTCATTCAGGTGATAGATCATGGTGGATGGTAACCTGAACCAGGGTGATGACAAAGAAGACGGAAGTAAGTAGACATATTCTAGAGATACTTAGATAGTAGAACAGATAGGACCTTGTTATTGATTGGGTTGGGGATGAGAGGATGGAAGTGTCTAGAGTGATATCCACGTTCTTAGCTTTGCCACTGGATGGATGGTGGTACCTTTCATTGAAATAAGGGATGTGGGAAAAGACTGGTTTTGAGGGGAGATTTCAGTTTTCAACATGTTGATTTTGTCATCCCTTAGGACATCCAAGTAAATATGTCTAGACCACAGTTAGATATACACGCCTGCAGCTTAGAAATATCTGGGCTGAAGGCGTAATTTTGGGAATCACCAGTGTAGGGATGGTAATTTAAACCATTGGAATAGGTGAAAAACCCAGGGGCCATCTGTAGAGTGAGAACCAGCACATTTAATGGATGGATAGGAGAAGAGAATTCCATAAAGGATACTGAAAAGTAGAAGTCTTGGAGATGTCATAGAAACCAAGAAGGAAGGAAGAGGTGGTCAAAACAAAAAAAAAAGACAGGGAGGGGTGGGAGGGAGGCTCAAGAGAGAGGGAATATATGTACACATATAGCTGATTTACTTTGTTCTACAGCAGAAACTAACACAACATTGTAAAGCAATTAGACTCCAATAAAAAAAGTAAAAACATGAAATAAAAGAATTTAAGTATTTAACAAAAAAGGAAAGAAAAAGAAAAAACTTCCATTGGATTTATCAAGAGGCCATTAGTGATCTCCACGAAGGCAGTTTCACCTTCCCCACAGTGGAGTTATGGGGCAGAAGCCAGACTGTGTTGGGTTGAGGCTTGAGTGCGAGGTGAGGGAGCAAAGATTACAGTGTGGATAACTCTTTGAAGAAGTTTGGCTGGGAAAGGAGTGGTAGAAATAGGGCGGTAGTTAGAAGGGAACTTAAGGTTGAAGGAAGAGTTTGTTTGTTTGTTTGTTTTTATCTGAGGTGGTAGTTTTGAAGAGGAATAGATCTGAGTATGTTTAAATGCTTATAAGAAAGGGCCTGGAGGGCTTCCCTGGTGGCGCAGTGCTTGAGAGTCCGCCTGCCGATGCAGGAGACGCGGGGTCGTGCCCCGGTTCGGGAAGATCCCACATGCCGCGGAGCGGCTGGGCCCGTGAGCCATGGCCACTGAGCCTGCGCGTCCGGAGCCTGTGCTCCGCAAATGGGAGAGGCCACAACAGTGAGAGGCCCGCATAACGGCAGAAAAAAAAAAAAAAAGAAAGAAAGGGCCTGGAGAGAAGAGTTTAAAGAGAAAGGGAAGGGGAATTCCCTGGCGGTCCAGTGGTTGGGACCGGGTGCTTTCACTGCCAGGCCTGGATTCGATCCCTGGTCGGGGAACTAAGATCCCGCAAGCCGAGCTGCGAGGCCAAAAAAAACCAAAACCAAAACCAAAAAACTACAGAGAGAGAGAGAAAATGTGAGTAATCAGTAGAGGGAGATCTTTGCAAAGCTCAGAAAGGATTAGATCAGAGAATAGGTAGAAGGATTAGCTTTAGATTGGTGTCTGGTTGGGGACGGACCTCTTCCTTTGTATTAGGGGGCGAAGCAGAAAGGATAAGTATGGATTCAGTTATGTTCTGAATGTTTGAAAGTGGGAATGGGGGATTTCTTTTTTGAAAGCTTTATTTTCTTTCCAAAGTAAAAGATGAATTCATCTGCTATTTGGGAGTGAGGTCCTGAGTGAGAATTTAGAAGAGAAGGGAGAAAGTTGGAAACAGCTGCTATTTCAAATGCTTAGTGTGTGTTTGGCACACAGTAGGTGTTCAGTAAATATTTAATGACTGAATAAATTGAACAAATACATGAATACTGTGAAGAATGTGAGAGCTCTTTAGGGAAACAAAGATTTCTAGAACAGTTGTTAGAGAATCATGACCTTGAACTTTTAAGGAAATAATTATGTTTTATGTTTGTTTTAGGGAATCGCATTTGGGGAAAAGACCTGAAGGGTATACATTTATGTCATGTAGCATGGTCCGCAGATAGTAAAATCTTACTTTTTGGAATGGCAAATGGAGAAATACACATTTATGATAATCAAGGGAATTTTATAGTAAGTACATATATTCCTTACTTTTATTTACACGACTTTGTATTATTATTTTATATATCATTCATATATGTATACACATTCATTTATTATGATAGTTTGCATATTGAAGAAAGTCTTCAGGGTTTTTTTTCCAGTTGTCTAAAAATTCATTTTATTAAAAAAAAACCTTCTGGGTTGCTTCGAGGTAAATTAATGCTCTTAGTTCTGATTTCCTGGTAGCTGGGAATACAAGGCTTCAGTGTATTGAAGCTGAGGGATGATGGGTAGGATGATGTGCAGTTTGATCTTTGTGTCTTCAAATACCTGAAGCCAAAGGTGACATGAGATACCAAAGATACTTTTGTAGCAAGGTACTAGATTATAAAAAGGATAGAAGATTTAAACAGTAAGGGACAAAAATCAGGTCCTGGAAAGAAGGCAAAATAGAATAGGCTTAGGTAGCAGAATCTCAAGAAAAACTCTAGCTTTGTGAGTGAGATCTAGCTATGATAGATCTCTGATCTTACTTATGGGACGGTTTTATTTTTAGTGAGGGTTAAGATGTCACATGAACCCACTCGTTGGTGGAAGTGATAGTAACCAACTTTTACATGATACTTTGCTATTTTCAGAGTAATTTTGTATACCTTTGATCATTTGAGTCTCATAAAAACTCTATGAGCTTTTTTGAAATCCTCATTTTACAAATGGGGAAAACTGAAAGTCAGGTGAAGTGATTTGTCCATGGTTGGTAAGGCGGTAAGTGATGGAGCTTGTATTCAAAACCAGATTTTTAAATCCTATTTTCGGTGTCTTTCCATAATACTCTATTCATACTAATCCCTGTTTTAAAATATAAAATACTAACTAACTGATTTTATTTAGATGAAAATGAAACTGAATTGTTTGGTGAATGTCACTGGAGCAGTCAGTATTGCTGGAATTCACTGGTACCATGGCACAGAAGGCTATGTGGAGCCACATTGCCCCTGCCTTGCGATTTGTTTTGACAATGGCAGATGCCAAATAATGAGACATGAGAATGACCAAAGTATGTAGTTTTTATTTTTTTAATGTGGAGAATTAAAAAAAATTTTTAAATTATTCTTAAGATTATAAAGTTCTCTAGACTAAATATTTTACGACAGTTACTCTCTTTTTGTTCACTAGATCCTGTTTTAATTGATAGTGGCATGTATGTAGTAAGTATCCAGTGGAACCACACTGGCAGCGTGTTAGCTGTGGCAGGCTCCCAGAAGGCCATCACCCAGGACAAAGATGTGAACACTGTGCAATTTTACACTCCATTTGGTGAGGTAAATGTATTAAAGGTTTTGTCTTTCTTTCTTTCCATTTAAATATGCAGTGAATAAGGTAGGGGAAAGAAGAATGGAGGAAGGGGGTATAAACTTGTCATATTTTTTAAAGCGGACATTTTAAGTAAAAATGATGAACTATCAGGTGTATGTCTTTGAATAATATCCTTATATTATAAGCCTTCATTTTATTGTGGAATTTATTTTATAATCTTTACATTTAGAAAACCAGATGTTTCATATAAGAAATCATTAGGGAGTAGTTATTGAGAGCATTTTCTCTGTGATCTGAATATGCATCTCTTTACAGCTGATTTTTGAGTTGTTTTTAGTGTAATTTAGCTGTTTATATGATAAATTAAATGTGCTGTCTATCCTTTTCCCAAACTTCTAATTGTTTCAATTTGTTGTGGAATAATAGATTATTTTAAGAAAATCTCTTTATAATTAATCTTAGGTGATGCTACATTAGAATATAAACATTTTTTCATAAATACATATGGTATCCTCAATAGTATTATTAATAAATTTAAGTTTTGAAGAGAATTTTCTTGAAGCAGCAGTGGAAAATATAAAATAGGAGAATTAACATGTTGTGCATTTTAAAAATTTAGAAAATGAGAACTTATTAGTAACTAAGCTTAATAATTTTTACCTATTTTATTTTCTAACTTTAGACTATATTCAGTCTCTTTTGGATATCCTGTTGGTTTTTATAAATTCACCTTAGACTTCAATAATATTTATTTTTGGCTACACAAAAACCTATACCAGTTGTTTCACTATGTTAATACTTTTTAATATATTTTAATAAATTCTGTAAGGGTAAGTAATGGTGTCAGCTGATGCTGAAAGTTACCCAGCAGAATGTGCTCTGGAGAGTATGTAGTCTCTGAACTTTGTCAATTAATAATATTTCTGGTAGATGTAAAAGCTAAGAAAAAACAAAAGTATAGTTCTCAAGGTTCCTAAATAATTAAAAATCTGAATTCTAGTTATCTCAATGTTTATAGCTTTCTTTTAAATTCATGTTCTTTATTTGTTATTTTTGTTTGTTGCCATTGGCTTTTTTATCATTATATTATCTTATCAGCTTATTTTTGTTAGTTCAGTCTTCTCCAAGTATAAACATGCATTCAAAGGCCTATTTGCTTTATCTTGCAAATCAACTGTTATGTGTTAAATTGAAAACTGTAAGTGGTTTTTGGTATAGTTGTAATTAAAGGTACCTAGCATAGGTCCTTGGGGTATTTAGTCATAGTATTTTTTGAATGAGTGAATATATGGGGTATTTATTTTTGGATCTATGTTATTAGAAAGAACTTGGAGGAAATTAACTAAAGATCGAAACTTAAGGAAAACCTCAGGGAAGAATTTACTTTTGGTTCTGAGGGCTGGGGTCTTCTAGTTTTCTCAGTGTGGTCTTAGCCATGGGAGGGGATGACAGAGCGTGGGGTTTGTAGTCTGGTTGACCTGGCTTTGCCTTTGAATTCCGTTTCTACAGTGTGGTTTCACTTAGAGAAGTTATTTAACCTCTGAGACTCGGTTAACGTATTTCCTGAAATAAAGGTAACACCTCATGGCACTGTTGTAAAAATCAAAGGAGGTAACGCCGGGGACATGTCTACAGTGTTCTTTCCCTGCCGCTGCCACCGCCTGGCGTGTTTCGCAGTTAGAAGATGGCCTTATTCTCCTCCTAGTATGGGTTGTCAGTACCAAGAGTGATGTTGTGAGACCCTGCTTTTTCCTTCTGGTTTCGTACAGGCAGCAGGACAGATAGAGTGGACCCTCCTAGGTTACACCTTTTTTTTTTCCCCATTGGTTTCCCTGGTAAAGTGGAGTTTAATATATTAAATTTGATTTTAGAGCATATCTGCTTAAGAACGAGGGATACCAGTATAATTTATTAAAATTCTTGGGATTATACTGCTTTGTCAAATAAACATAGATTAAAAATGTCTTCTTTCTTTGTCCACATTAAAAAAGTCTTTGTATTCATTTATTCATTTGCTAATTTAGCCATTAAATATACTGTTAGTATATGAAGAAATTCACTTGAAGGCATGATACATTTATTTACTTGATATTCTTTTGAGTACTTGTTTACCAAGGAATCTATCAAGGGATAGGGTAATCAATGTGAATATGATAAAGTTAGTGCTCTCAAGTAGCTCATTGTCTAAATTCTCTGGAACCGTAGAGGAAGGGAAGAAGGCAGGAAGTAATATTTAAGTTGTTTCTTGACGGATGAATAGGAGTACTCCTGCAGGGCAAGGAGTAGTAGGATGAGGGAGTCTTGGGGAAAAGGAAAGGAGGATTTCAGGCAGAAGATATATTATATGGGCCAAAGGAATGGAGGCACAGTAATTCCCTCATGAGGAGAACACAGTAATTACAGCTAACTCGTAAGGTATTGAGCCACAGAGTTTTGGGCAAGTGGGGAAAGTCACTGTATACTATTCTAGAGAATGTACTGGTGGGGAGCTATTGATTTTTAAAAATTATTAAACATTTTTAAAAAGCAGAGTAGGACATGATTAGATATGTCTTCTAGAATGATAATCATGGCAGTAGAGTGGAGATTGAATTGGAAGGGCAGGAATGAGAAAAGAGACAAAAGGTAAAAATTGCAGTTAGGAGGCTGTCACCATAGTTCAATAGGCAGTTGTAGTGGAGGATAGAAAGGAGTGAAAGCAAAACGCTTGGCATCTGGTTGGCTGTTGGGGGTGGGATGGGGCATGAACGAGAGGAAAGACTTTAAGGATTGAGTTTATTACTCCAATGTTTCATTGATTCTAAGAAGCACAATTCTTCACAACCCTAAATTGGGATGCATCTTAAAATCAAAGTTGTCCTACTTTTAGCTAGCAGTGTGTTTTTCTTTCCTAAGTTGTACATAAAAATAAAGATGCATATTTAAAGCTCTGGCATCTTAGATTTGATGAAATTTGTTACTGAATTCTTTGGCTATAGCTTGTAAATTTCTCCTCTCATATGTTTGCTTTACATTATAAAAATTGAAGGGAAATGATTTGAAGTTTGTAGCAATCTTTCATAAAATAATTTTTGTACCACTTTTGATCTCTGTGAAGTGATTGGTGGTACTTTATTTAATTGTGATACTTTAGGTTAAATATAATTACTTTTTTCAGCATCTGGGTACTTTGAAGATTCCTGGAAAGCAGATGTCTGCACTATCTTGGGAAGGAGGTGGACTGAAAATTGCACTAGCTGTTGATTCTTTTATATATTTTGCAAATATTCGACCCGATTATAAGGTGAGTATTAAGAGCAGTTGTAAAAAAAAAAAAGATGTTTTTTATGATATAATTTTGTTATAGCTGAAAGTATAATGTGTGTTTCTTGCATATATTCATAGCCACATTGTTTTAGAAACCAGTTGAAAGGAGACTTTTTTCAGTGTGAAGGCCTTAGAACTGGTAAATGTTCCTGGAATACTATATTTAATTAGTAAAATTACTCCAACAGTGTCAGGGTCTCAGCAGG